GACACTTGGCAAGTGGGAGTTAATCCTCCCAAGGAGATATTCTGGGTTGGCACTGGGAGCTTTGTGTGCTTAGGAAGCAGGAAAAGAGGCTGCTTGTCCACAGTCTGTCTTTTCTCCAGCCTATCCTCCAGTCTCTGTTTCACTAGGAACAGTTCCCAGCCTCGCTTGCTCCGTGGTTGGGATAAAACAAGGGAAGCAAAGGTGTCTCTCTCCATCTCTCTCTGCTTACTATGGTGCCTCTGGCAATGGCAGTGTCTCCTTCAAAGGCTACAGCTTCCCCTGGACAGTTCCTTCCAACATGGTCTCTGTTCTTCCCAGCAGCTCTCTGTGTGTTTTAGCTCCCACCTGGTCCTGGCTTCTTCAGGACTGGATAATACTACCTCCTCCTAACTTCCTTCTAGCTTCCACACGATAGCATCTTCCTGCTAGTGTCTAGCTCATCTCTTCATCCCCTGCGTGGCTTCTTGGCACTTGCATTGCTTGAATAATGGATTCCTTGTAGTGAAATGCTTGGGTTTGGTAGGTCTGCTGTAGTTCCTACTTTTCCAGTTGGATCCTGAGTAATGTTATGGTCCATCCTATAAGATGGGAATCCCTAACCCTCTGCACCTGTTAGGTTCACTAGAGGAACAGATTTCATAAGAAATATTCGTAAAAATCATATTGTAGGCCTACAGTGGAGCTCACAGAGTCAGAATTGGAAGAATGCAAAAGGGGCATCTCTGCACTGCAGGATCCAGTCAAGAGCTGGAGGCCTGGAGCCACTGCAGAGTCCAGTGCAAGTCCATATCCGGAAGCCAAAAAGTCTGCACTGGAAGCCTGGAGACTGACGTCCAAAGACAGCGGTGAAGCCTGCAAAGATGCAAAAGTGAAACTTCCTTCTTTCCCTTTTTATTCCACCGAGGCTACAAGGCTTTGCCCGGTGCCACCCACGCCATGGTGGGCCTTTTATTTTCAGGAAACCCATCATCCATACACACCCAGAACTGTGCTAACTGAATCCACTAAGCATTTCTTAGTCAAGGTGACACCATAGCTGCCTCACACCCTCAGCTGACCAACACAATGGAAAGCCAGTTCCCCCAAAATGAACATGCTAAACTGCAGCCAGGCTGTACGGACCAGGATGTGGGTCAACACCACAATCACGGAGGACCCTCAATGTAAGCTCTATCTTCCCTGGCCTGGAACATTCTAGGACTGCCATTGTCACGATAATTACCTTATTTTACAAATGCAGAAACCAAACCCTGGGGGTGAAATGAATTTCCTGAGGTCAATGTGGGGCTGAAGCATGGGCAGGCTGACCGCAGGGGCGTGTGCTCCTGACTGCCACAATGCTCTGGCCCCTCTGTTAAGCACTGTGCAGGCCCTTCTGGTCCAGATCCTCTCTGACTGGTCATAGTTTCTTCTGGCTTTAGATGAAAACAGGGCTAAAGAAGAAAAACATGCTCCAGTTTTGTATCTCCAGTCTCATTCAACTTCTAACCAAGGTAAGTTCCCAAATCACAGCTGCTATAAAGGGGCTTACACAGTCCCCAGGTCCTGAGGGCTCGGGCTAGGAACTTTGGGACCCCTGGCTGAATGAAGAGGATTCTCTAGCCATCTGTGGATGCCCTGTGGGCATTGACTAAAGAAAAGTGGAGCAAGGGGAGGGTGGACCCCAATGTCAGGCCAGAGCCGAGCTCATCACCCATGTGGGGACAGGGCCAGGACTAACTTTATAAATAAATCTCTTTGAACAGTGACAAAAGTGTCAAAAACTTCCTCTCTTCCAAGAACAATTCAGGCCAAGGACTAGAAGGCTGTGTCCCTACCATTCCCTGGGAGCCAGGCCTCATTAAGTAAAGAACTTAGTTGTGTCAGACATTCCTCAGAATGACAAATTAACTAAACGTATAAATGGTGGCCTTGGAGATGAGGAGGAACTGGGTTATTCCCCGTGAGTCTGCTCCACTGAAGTAGGGAGCCGGTCGTCTCGCACAGCCCTGGATGCAGTGGCTAGAAAGGTACGAGGCACAAGTAGGGAAGAAAAGACTTCGCAAAGATCAAATGGGCTGACCTGATTTCCTGGGGAAAACTGTTGTCTGGAGCTGGGGGTCACCAGACGGAATTTGTTTCAGGTCTTATCATCTTCATCCTCCTTCTTAGCATCACTGTTATTGTCTTCAGCCCAAATAATGTTTCCTGGTTGCTTGGTTATGAAAGCCAGATAAATTTGCAGCAATTAATAATGAAATTTGGAACCACATCTGGATGCAAATCAATCAAAATCGATCAGCCAGTTTCTGGGTGTCTGCAGTGTGTTAACCCATATTCCCAAGCCTGGCTGCACTTTAGAATCATCTGGAAAGATTCAAAGTAAGCCATGCCTGGACCTTGCACCCACCTGATTAAATCCAAATCTCCAGCCGTGGGCTCCCTTGCATGCATTGCTTTCAGAGCTCTGCTGGAGACTCCACTCTACAGCCACAGGTGCATGAGAGGAGCGCAGAACCACAGAGGAACTGTTAAGTTGCTTGCCACCTGACCTCTCGGGAAACAAGATGCAGTTAAATAGCAACACACGCACCAGGTGATGAGATAAGACAACGGAAAATGAACTTCAAATAAGACAGCAGTGTCCTAAAAAGTACAGGGGAGGGGCCCTCAGTGGGTTAGTGAAAGGAAACAAAGTTCAGAGATAGAGTTGAGGGCAGAGGAGAGTATTAAGGAGTGCTTTCAGGAAGAAGTGTAAATTGAGAAGGAAATTAAAGGAGAGTCAGAGAGCACTTGGGTTCCTCCAAGCAGAACCAGTTTCAATAGCTCTAGGAAAGTAGATTAAACTGTTCTTTCCTAGCAGCAGTGGGCAGATCAAGAAAGCATTAAATGCGTCGGTGAGACAGAAATTAAAGGTATGTGGGTATGTTCTTTCCTCGGCTGTAGCATTTGGTGTGTACATCAAAATGTCACGCTATGCACCCCTAAAACCAGGAAGGTTGTGGGTTGGACTGCAAACAGCCTTGACTGCCAGAGAAGGTACTTCTATGGTGCAGGAGGCGTTGCTGATTTCTGAGCAGGGGAGTGAGAACATGCAGTGATTTTAAAATTTTTGTTTCCTGGAGGGTTGGATTTGTGATGCAGGAAATACAGCATGGACTGGGGCAAGCAAAGGACCTGGGTAGGTGTTTAGAAGGCTATTGTGTTACCTCAGGGAGAAGCTGGGGTGAAACAGTGGAGGAAGAGACAGACGGACAGACAGATGGACAGACAGACAGAAACGAGACATACTCTGGAAGAAGCATCAGTGGGCCCCAGCGGGACACAGAGTTCCTAGCTTGGGTGACAGACTCAGTGACTGTGCCGTACCCTAAGAAGGGCTGCCATCTTGGTGTAGTAGAGGAACAAGGCTTTGGATGGCCAGCTGCTGATCAGGCCACCGCTAGGCCACTAATCAGATGAGATTACCTTTCTGAGGGCCCAAACACAACCCAAACCCACTCACTGCAAAATGCCAATGCTACAATTAAACCTGAATGCTGAGGTCTCATCTTAGAAACAATGATCATACACTGACATCTTTTGTATTAAAACAAAAACAATATACACGCCCTAAATTGCTCCTATGGGCTGAGACTCTCTGATACTCATTTCCTTCTCTGTACAGCCAGCCTTCCGATGCCTGCATTTCCAGTGCCTGCCCAGGGGAAGCACGGGGCGATAGCTGCTCTGCTGTTACCAGCTTTGTTGTTATGAAACATAGAAGAGGTTTAGGGGGTGGAGGCTGGGTGCAGAGGTGCGGGTTAGACGTGTTATATCTACATGACATCGAGTGAAATGTCTGGAAGGCAACAGGGCCCAGAGCTAGAGTTAGGGCCTGAAATAAAGATCATAGCAGTGATGGTGGAAACTCTGGGAGGTGGGTGAGGTTGCCCAGGGTCAGGAGAAGCACGTTCAAGAACAGGACTGGGTTTTGTAGCAGTCAGGACTCTGGATGTAAGAGCCAAAAGTGCAACTCAGCTGGCTTAAGAAAAAAAGTAGAGAAGGGAGGAAGGTGTAGCTACACACTGTATCACAGATCCAACCCTCAGGAATATGTAGCCACTGAAATAGCCAAAAGGCCCAGGGGGAGGTGTAGGTGGCTGCACACAGGGTGACAGTGTCCAGTGTTGTGGAAGCCATTCCGATTTCCTCTGGGGTGGCTTCCTTTGATCCGCACAGCAGGTAGGGGACAGACCAGCAGTGTTGGGCCCACTGTTTATGTATTGTCTGGGGCTGGTTTTGAGTCACGGCCACCACGCTCTACTTACTATAGAGACCATATGGCTTGCAAAGCCTAAAATATTTACTATCTGGGTAATATTTCCAAAGGAAGTTGGCCAATCTCAGCACCAGAAGCTAAGTCCGCAAGACCAGGCCTCTTGTCTGTCACCACGGCCGTCGTGTCCCCAGTGCTGGAAGCATGCCAGGTGTGAGCTCAGAAATACCCCTGGGATGAAGAAATGAAGGGAAAGCAGGTTCCAGCTTGGTGTAGAGACCAGGTGTCAGGATCTGAGCCAACGTGAGCATCAACACTTAGAGGGGTTGGCTCTGAGGAGCTTGGAAAGGACAGATTTGGAGAGGAGGCTTGAGACAAGGGCCTGGTGACACGAGATCAGAGATGCTTCCTGCAACCGTAAACCTGGGAAGAGGTTTGTGGATCTGGACATCGAGAGTACACCAAGCAGCTCCACAAAAGCCACGTCAGGGAAGCAGGCTGCGGACAGTGAGGAGGTGAGACTGAGATGTGTTACATGCGGGGCTGAGGAGAAGCTGGTGCCCAGCAACTAAGGTCGGGTGGGAAGGGGCTGCCCTTTGTTCATATCTGGGTTGATAGCCAGGGAAAGGGCAGGCTGAGACAAGAGGGGACTCCGCCTGAAAGTGCCTAGGTCCCTTGAGGTCTCGCTGGAAGCTGAGTTCTGGATCTATTGGTTCGGACACCCACCCTTTGCATGGCTGAGAAGCACCAAGGTGACACACAGTTAAAAGGATCTACTGTTCCTTTATTGACTAAGTCACATTTCCCTGCAACACACAGCGCTCCTGGCTCTTCCCAGTGGATTTAACATCCTCTGAGTCTTTGTAATAAGTCCTGGGAGAACTGATCTATGTGCTCCCCGACAGTTTAAAGCAGAAAGTACAAGAGCTGGGTTTTCTTCTTTGTTTCCTTCTACTTAACTCAAAGCCCTCTTCTGCCAACTTTATCAGAATTTATTAATTGGTGCCCAAACCACACAGCTCAGTGTCAGTCATATTTGAATCAATTTAATCATTTGCAGAGCCCAGGAGATGCAGACTCCTGCATCAAACAGTCCTGTTTGTCCCTCATTTGTCTTCCACGGGAATTCAAGGTTTCACAGGCAGGTTTTCTCCGCAGGGTTTTAGAGTGAGCTCAGGTGCTGTGGCGCGAACGCCCCCCCAAACTCAGGCTGAAGTCTGATCCCCCCTATGAGGGACTGAGAGGTGGGGTCCAGGGGTCTGAGGGCGGTGTTCTCTGGAGTGACCTCGCTCATTCATGGACCAGGGGAGGAACAGAGGATCTGTTGCAGGGCCAGCTTGGCTTTGTCTCCTGTGTGCAGGACTCACGCAGCCCTTCCACTAGGCCTTCCAGCCTCCAGGCACCGTAAGAACTTTCTTTCCTTCATGTGGTTCCCAGGCCCAGGTATTCTGCAATAGCAAGAGAAAATGAACTGGGACAGAGGCCAGTGAGGAAGCTCCCAGCAGAGGCTCGGCTCCCTGTAGGTTTTCACAAATCTATTTCCTGCTCCTTCCCAGCCTTTCATCCGAGGAGGGCTGTGGAGGCCTTTGACTGTTTAGATTCTTTTCATGGCTGTAGTCTAGGCGTGGATCCAAACCCTGGGTTTAGGGATCAAAGCCTCTCTGGGGATGTGGTTTCCAACAAGCTTTTGCACTTAGATTTTCTTTAAGAAAGTTGCTCTGCTGTCATCCAGGCAAGGAGCTGAGGCTTCCTGGAGTTGCTTCCTGGGAAGAAAGGGAACATTCTGCTGCTTACTAAATAAAGGGCTCTCTCCGGGAGGCCGCTGTGTTTTTGCTGCATGCCTGGGGCAGCCACCTGGTGCGGAGCAGGTCGCTGAGGGGTGTCTCCGAGCCAGGCCTGCTGTGCCGGCCTCACTCAGATGGTGGGTCCCTCTGGGTGGGTTTCAAGGCAAAGCAGGGCTCCAGTCCCACAGACAGCACAGGCCCAGAGGACCTGAGGGTTGCCAGACTCTCCATTCCCTTTCCAGTCTCTTTCCTTGCCCCACCCCAGGGCATCCTTGGCCCCAATGTCTCCTCCATGCCCACACTTTTGGCGTAGACGCGTTTGTGCGCATTGAAAATCAAAAGACTAAGCTAAGACCCTGAGAAATAAAATGAGACCAGCCAAGGTGATCAAGTGCTCAGGCTCCCGTGAGCAGAAGCCTGGGGATCCTGAGGATGTGCAGACCGTGAGGCACCGGCGCCGAGCCAGTGCAGGCCTGCGTGCGCCGGCCTGCCGCCACTAGGGGGCGCTGCGGTCAGGCGTAACACCGAGAGCAGAGCTGTTTACAGCAGCAAGAGGAGAAAAGACAAAGAAATGATTATTTCAGCTCATGACTAATTTTGTGATTTCAGAAGATCTGGGCAGTGCGCTTGCCCTCATTTTGCAAGTGCGTGGCTCCTCTTTCACACAGTGGCCCTGCCAGGATGGCGCTATCGAGGTCCCCTCTCCTGGACCTACCGGCCTTGTGCTGACAGGTGCTGCTGCCGAGGCTGCCAGGCACTCCCTGCTTGTCTGCAGCGCAGCGCTGAGGGGGAAAGGGCTCTTCCTCGGGCAGCTCTTCCAAGGACACAGGTGAAATCTGGAGTCTCGATGATAAGTCTTGGGTAGCATATGCAGAAGAGACTGGGGAATCAAGGTGTTACTAGCACATTCCCCAGCGTCTGCAATTCTCCATTAGGCTAAGATGGAGAAAGGAATTATTAATCTAACTGAGCATTTATGGAGGGTCTACTATGTGCAGGATACCTTACTTGAGTTCAACACTATATAACCTCTCTTTGGAAGAACTGGGTTAGAAATTTGAATGGAAGAGTAAAGGAAGGGTTCAGAGGCATTTGAAAGCTGGCTCATATGAGCTAGGAAAATAAGAAAAGCTTGTACATTTCAGCCATTTAATTTACCAAGAAAGACAAGCTGGACAGGGGAAACACTGAATTAAAGGGTAGGGGGAAATGTTTTCTTTACTTCTCGTGGCTAAAAAGCATGAAGGCTGGAAAAATGAGTATCTGCTGTAGTGTGATTTCCTCCATGTTGCTCAAAGGTCACAGCGGCACTGTGATTTTTTATAATTTTTGTCATTCTTATCTTGAGCATTTTTTGCTCGTGTGATCAACTGACCACAAAGGACACACATTGTCTCTTATCAGTTTAGCCCTTTTCAAGCTGAAAAATAAAGCACAACAGAAAGTTCCCTGCTGATTAAAAACAGATCTGAAATCAACAGCACTAGGGATGGGGTCTTCATGCAGCAGCATTTGGGTCTGGACTTTAGCACTCTTGCATCGCGGCACCTCAGGCTTCCAAAGAGAATCTTGAATCTAATGCAGGTAAGACTTCCATGCCTGCTGTCTGCCACCCCGTCTGGAAGCAGACAGTGCTAGTGGAAAACTATGATAGCACAGCTTGGAACCACCATCCCTGGATTCTCTCCACACTCTACACAGGCTGTGGGACTGGTCATTCTGGACACAAAGATGTGACCTGTGGTGTAGAAGCAGAGGAAGTAGCCTGGGAAATGCTCTCTAATGTCCATGTGTTTCTGAAAATGCCTTTTTCTTGTTCACCCTCCATCGCCTTCTAATGGCAGCAGAATGAGCAGAGGGAGAATGGATGCAATGAGCCTGGTCTTTCAGGCTCTGGCTCTTGGTAGTGAACAAGTAAGATTTGCTACTCTTCTCCATTCCCTCTGGACTTGCATCCTCATGCCCAGAGCAGTCAGTCACTTGTGTGATCTTATCTTCAGGGCCAATGTCCTGATGCTCTGTGGTTGGGAGAGGATTGTGTGGTCAGCTCCTGGGGCAAATGATGGCTTTCTCAGGCTTCCCAGGTCAGGTGAGAGAAGAGCATTAGGGAAAAGTGCAAACCTGGACCCTGGATGGACAGCTGATGACCAGGGAAATAAGTGCAGTGGAGAAGCTGTAGCAATTGGAAAGATCTCATTTTGCTGAGAGTAGCAGCCAGGGGCTTTCAGTGTCTCCTGGGCTGCACACAGGTTGTGTATTTTCTGCTTGTGAAGCATTTGACATATTTTAAATGCATCGAGCTGAGTAGATTCATTGTGAAATGCAGCACACATATGCTGAGTATTTTAGTAGAAGCATAGCCACCAGAAATGCTTTTTTTTCTAGTGTGAAAATACAGACACACACCTCCCCTTCCTTTAATCACAGTCCCCAGCACAGAGATCTCTGAATTTACATAAATACAGAGATAGATTTCTATATCTGAAAGTTACTTCCCACCAGAGTGCACAACACCGGCTTTTTTAACAAAAGGTTCAGCAACAGGATTCTTAGATGGAAGTAATCCCACGGTTAGTGATGTGAATCTCCCAAGAGTTGTCATGGATACTCTCGCTGCCCAAAGGATGCCTGTGAGCAGCAGGGTCAGCTCCCTGGAGCCCAGTGACAGCGCAGAATCTCAGCTCCACACCCGGCCTAAGTGATGGTTTGAATACGTCCCCCCAAAGCCTGTGCTGTAGCCTCAAGCTTAAAGTGAGAGTGCTGGACAGTGTGGCCTCATGGAATGAGGGAGGAAACTTTCACCACGTGTGGCTTCCAAGCTTAGGTTTCCTGCTTTCTAGAACAGTAAGAAGTAAATTTATTTTCTTTAAAAATGACTGAGCCTGTGGTATTCTGTAATAGCAATACAAAATGAACTAAGACATCTAATGAATCAGAGTCTACCTTTTGACAAGAGCTCCAGGCAGTCCAGGAGACTCACTTCTCTCCATCAGCGCTGATAGTTGCCACCCACTTCCCTGAGACAGCGGCTCTTTAAAACTCCCCAGCCCAGGAGCTGTCACTGAGCTTGCTGAAGCAGCAGGCAGCATGTCAGGCTCTCCCTGCTGAGGAAAGCAGTGCATTTACTCACCTAGTAAACACGGTGTCCACTCTGAGCGCAGCACAGGTGGGCGAGGACAGCCAGCCAGGTAACAGCTGCACATGCCCTGTAGTGCCCTCTCTGGACTGGTGAACCTTGTGCATTCCCACAGCAACATGGCTTCTGCGGGTGTTCTCCTGGGCATCTAAGCTGCTCAGAGGAATTCTTTCAACTTTAACTGGTTCAGAAAAATATTCATTGTTTCAAAATTTGACATTTATACAAGATCATATACTTTTTTTTTTTTAGACAAGGTCTTACTACACAGTTCAGGCTGGCCGTCCACTCATTCTGCAGCCCATGCTGGCCTCACGTTCACAGTGATCTTCCTGTCTCTGCCTCAAAAGTGCTGGGATTACAGGGATGTGCCACCTGGCCACGGCCTGGCTGGACCATATACTTTTTCAGGGGATAGGGCAGGGTAACCGAAAGACCATATATTTTTAACATAACCTGAAAGGTTAATACCTTAGGGTAAATTGTAATTTTGTGCTGTGAACAGAATTTTGCAGAAATGCCTAGGATAAGTCCAGCTCTAGTCCTGCAGCTGTGTGACAGGGTGAGTGGGCAGATTGTATTTTACTTGTTTGGCATAAAAAGAAGCCTTTGACATGCATCACTAGGGTTCCCTAATCTCTACGTTTTATTGCTAATGCTATGAAAGAAAGGACCATCAGACACACCAGTCTGACCCCAGGCCCTTTCCAGTTTCCTTAGAGCTGGATTCCGGAGGGCCCGCCTCGGGATAACCAGCAGCGGCCCAGGCAGAGGACCTCACTTGGGCTTTGTTTCTTCCTTTGCTGTGGCCCAGCCCTTTGGTTCTTCCTCGGCTGTGTTTTGCAAGCAGCCTTCTTACAAAGGACAGAATAAAGTAACATCGAAGCTTGGGGTTTCGCACCACTCTTTGACTGAATGCCAGCTTCCACTACAAGCAATGTGCTTTTCTTGCAGCAGAAGAGGATCAGGAGGAGAAGCAGAGAAGCCTGCAGCCTCAGGGAGGCAGCCAGCCTGAGCCCGCAGCCAGGCTCTGCTCAGTAGAGGCACAGGAAGGGGCTCGGGTATGATTTACACGTCAGTGCCAGGCTATGCTAGCGAGCACCCTGGTAATCAGCGCTGCCATAAACCGGGAAAGGCGGGTTTAGAGAGCCAGGCAGTGGAAGCGCCGCTTCTGTGTGGAGTCTGAGGACTCTCCGACATTTTCCAGACTGGCTCCTCAAGTGTCACCGTGCTGCAAGTGGCAGCTGTGGCAGGAGTGTAGCCTTTCTGCAGGCCACTGGGCGTGCAGGGACTTTGGAGGAAGAAACAACCTGACTGGGAAACAAGCCCTGTGTGGACTGTTCTCACCTAGAGCCCCAGGCAGCCCCAGCACCCTCAGCCTCAGGCCCAGGGTCATCCTGAGAGCACACGCTCTGCTGGCCACCACCTTAGTCCACTCCTGCTACTGCCCCAGGGTACCTCGTCTGGGTGGTTCCCACTGGCAAACCCGGGCACTGGCCGATTTCGAGTCCTGCGGGGCTGCCTCTTGGCTTCCAGGATGGCGCCTTGCTATTGAGTCCTTCAGAGGGAAGGAACTCAGTTGTCCTCAGAGGGCAGAAGGGGCTAAAGGGCCAGGCAGCTCTCTGAGTGCCCACTTGTGAGATGGAGCCTTCCAGGTGAATCACTTTCCAAAGGCCCTGTTTTGGAGTTTCAGCTCCAGCATGAACTCTGGAAAGAAACACATCCAGAGTTTACCAGCCCTGGCCCACTCTCTGGAAGGCCTAAGGGTTTTCTCTGGACTTAGCCATGACTGTAAGCCCCAGCTAAGGACCTGCTCACTTGTCTCCTGGCCCAAGGAGCACCTCCTCCTCTGTGCCTTTTCCCCACTCCTTGGCTGTCCATTTAGGTCCTCAGGGCTAAGTATGATTCTGGAGTTTTACAAAAATTACAATCCTGCCGACTCTTTTGCCTAAATTCAGGTTCTGAACTTCATGAAACAGAAAGCAACTTTGGTCCCTTTCTGTCAGTGGAGATTTGGTAGAGCCTTAACACGGGGAGCTGCTCTGTCTCAAGTGCAGATGCTGTGGCCACTGCTGCCTGCACCACAGACTACCCCCTCCACCATGGCTACCTGGCCCTCTACCACGGACATCTTTCCCTCCACATGATCACCTCCCCCTCACTATGGCCACCACACCCTCCACATGGCCACCTCTCCCCCACGATGGCCAACACTCCTCCATCTGTCACCCTCCCCACCATGCCCACAAATGCCTCCACCATGACACCACCCCCTCTGCCATGAGGCCACTACCTCTGTCATGACACCACAACCTCCACCATGGCCATCACAAATGGCCTCCAACAATTTACACTTTAATACTTTATCAAGAGTCAGAGTTTAGGGACAGAGTACCCTTTCACGGCTGACCAGAGATGGCTCCCTTAGTCTCAGTAGTAAAAGGAGATATTTACAATTATTTTGTGCCAAGATTACCCCAGTGGAGAGCACAGGAGGAAATTTCCCATAGGAAAGTGGGAGGTTATTTGGCAAAGGTGGGTGTAAGGCAGATGAAGATGACAGGAATCTGCCACACCGGTGACCACTAAAGGAACAAATAGTGTGAGGTCTGTAAATGTTTCCAGTTTCACCTGGTTTTTCCTGTTTTCTTTTTCTTCAGTCATTGTCTCTTGCGTGTACCAGTCAGCACACAAACCACCCTGGATTAGCGGGGACCACCAGCCTACACCCCCAGTGTGGGGTCTGCTCCAGGGAAACGGGGCTGCTCCCATCCACCCTGGCTGTGCCAGCCGGGCGTGAGCTCTGGAGAGCAGAGCTCTTCCAAGGCTGAGAGACGTTAAGCCCCTCTGAATGGCCCAGCTGTGCCTAATCATCCACTTTTCATTTCCTCCTGTCCTCACGGCTCCCTTTCATTTGCTTTTGCTTTGCTTTGTGATTGGTTAGTTTTTCCCTGCTTCATTCCTCAGAGGGCTGGGCTTTCAGGTGGCAGACGTTTCTCTCAGCTTCCTGGCAGCCTGGAATTTGCTAGACCTGGCCTCAGTGCCCCTCCTTTGCATTCCAGGGAAACTAACCCAAGAGCTGGGGTGCAGTGTGGGACTGGTCCTCCTGCTGGGCAGCCTCTCCTAGCGCACCACAGAAGCACCAGAGGATCTGTTCTTCCTCCTCCCCCTCCTCCTCCTCCCCCTTCTCCTCCCCCTCCTCCTCCTCCTTCTCTTCCTTCTCTTCTTCCTCCTCCTCCTCCCCCTTCTCCTCCTCCTCCTTCTCTTCCTTCTCTTCCTCCTCCTCCTTCTTCTCTTCCTTCTCTTCCTCTTCCTTCTCTTCCCCCTCCTCCCCCCTCCTCCTCTCCTTCTCTTCCTCCTCCTCCTCCCCCTCCTCCTTCCCCTCCTCCTTCCCCTCCTTCTGTTCCTCCTCCTCCCCCCCTCCTCCCCCTCCCTTCCTCCCCCTCCTCCCCCTTCTCCCCCTCCTCCTCCCCCTCCTCCCCCTCCTCCCCCTCCTCCTCCCCCTCCTCCCCCTCCTCCTCCCCCCCTCCTCCCCCTCCTCCCCCTCCTCTCCTCCCCCTCCTCCCCCTCCTCCCCCTCTTCCCCCTCCTCCTCCTCCTCCTCCACCCTCAAGTATGGCTGTATTTGGGCCACAGCAGGTGACCCAGTGAGCACTCAGCAACTCCAGCCTCATTTCTCAGTCTGGATATAGCAAACCTTGCCAACCTATTATCCTCCAACAAGATGTCATTCAGCCGTCAAAAGAGATTTTTCCTCCGGAAAGCATCCTGTGAGAACAACACCCCTGAGTCCCCTTGAAGAGAAAACTCAACAGCAAAGTGCCATTGATTAGGAGAACTCAGAATAAAAAGTGAAGGGCGGAGAAGGCCCCGGAAAAGGCTGTTCTGAGAGCTCACCGGAAACCAGAGTTGGCTATATTGGGGATTATAAGAGAGCTCGCAAACATCACGAAGCCCTTAGAAGTTAAAGAAGGAAACTACCACAAATGCAGGGCTACCGTTTCCACATCTTCCGTACACCGGAGTATGTTAACATTATTTAATACCGATGCAGACAGCTTAAGAATAGCTGTAATCATTTAAAAGTGTAATCATTGTTATTATTTTGAACTACAAAAGGGATTTTAAAAAGTAATATCTCTGATGGTACAAAATATTTTACTTAAAATTCATAAGTTTTTCAGTTTGAGGCTGGGGATTTAGCTCAGGGGCAAAAGCACCTGCCTTGCAAGCGTGTGGTCATGAGTTCCATCTCTGGTACCTATGAAAAAAAAAGTTTCAGTTTAATGTCAGTTTTCTACTGCTAAATTCAAGTAAAGTTAATTTTAAAAATAGTGTATATGGCATATCTGTTTCATAGAAATGTATTTTAGTGGGTTCATCTGGCCTCTGATGTGTAATTATGCATAGGAAAAAGATATTTGGAGTGACATTATTATAACTTTCAAAATATTTATAATACTTTGATGATATCTTTCTGGGGGTTCAATCCAGAGAAGTTTTCTTACTTTCTTCCTTATAGGTTTGCCATCCCTTACATTCTTTTTTAAAATTTAATTTTAATTTTTAAAACAGGGGGTAAAACTAAACAGAACAAAGCAGATCAGAAGAAAACAATGCAAGCAACAGATTTCAAAACAAGACAACAGGAGATCTACAGTGGCTATCGTAATGTGTCTTTTTTTTCTTCTAAATGGTTGTCTATATCTTCACTCATAATGAATTCACACAAAACAAAATCCTTTACCTTCTTTATAGTAGACTCACAGTAGGAAAAGACAATCACTACTCTTACAAAAGACAAAACAAAACAAAAAAACAACCTAAAGAACAGGACTCTTAGACCTGGGACATAGCTCAGCAGCACAGCACCTGCCTGGCAAGCACAAGGTCCTGAGTTTGATTCCAAGCACAAAAAAAAAAAAGGAACAAAACTCAGTTAGTTGGAAGATCCTCTGCGGGAATGGATGATTTGACATGGATTCGTAGGTTGCCATACCTGATTACTACTCATGTTTACATAGGCTACTTAAATCTCTGAGTCCTGCTGATTCAGCTCAGACGCATTTCAATGTTTTATTTACAGGCTGATGGAGTCACAGATACTTCCGTATACCTGTGCGCACGTTTCAGTTGTTTCTGTCCCCTTTCTTCTGTACCTGTGTACACCTCGCCCCTTTCCTCCCTCTTGTTTACTTTCAGCTCAACTTGTTACTTTATTCATTGTCCTTTTAAAATTTCCTTAGCCAAAGCTCGTCCCCTTGTGTCTCTGACCCATTTGGAGAGGATTTTTGCACATGCTGAGGGCTGGGAAGATCCGCTTGCAGTCTCCCTCTGTGTGCATCAGGGTACCAGTGCCGTTGGCTAAAGAAGCCCTTTCGCCAGTGTTTTCAGCACCTTTGGAGAGAATCAGTCGGCTGTAGACTGATGTCTACATGGATTTATTCCTGTATCTCTAGTCTGTTCCCTGGGTGATGCAGACACTTTTTTTTAAGTGTAAAGATTTCCAGTTTGAAAGTTTATGCATATGTTATTGCATGGTTGTGTCACTGTTGAAATAAGATCTCCAGGATTTCTTATTCCTCATCTGCTGCACAGTGAATGATAAAGTTGGGGCAAAGGATGAAGAATGAACTCTGTGTTAAAGGCAAAGGAATCCATCATGTTCCGGATTGTCAGAGCAAAGCAAGAAGAGAACACGTGGTGAATTAATGATGCGAAGGAGGAGCTTCAGGGAAGGGCTCCCATCGGAGTGGCGACATGGGGCGGCAGGCTTAGCATCCTGACCGAAGGCTCTCTTTTTAGTGCCTCGACCACTGTCATTTGGGTTGGAGACAGTGACAGCCGCGTGCTTTAAGACTCTCTCTTGTTCCAGCTATTTTTCCCTGGGTGGCAATTTTTCTGCTCTCAGTCCAGGGACAGTGAGCCAAGAGCAAGTGGTTGTGGGAAGGCCTGTGAAAATCAGAGAGCCATACGCTGCTTTTCCTAATCCCTGGTCCCTACTAAGAAAAGCACTGGAGAAACCAACAGTGTCGTAAAAGCAGGCAGTTTTAAATTTTAACAGATCGGGCAAACTACGTTTTTCCAGAGTTATGCTAAGTGTATTCCGACCCCAACCCAGATATTGCCAACACCGAAGCTTTAATGTCTAAGTGGGAACCATAAATGTGTGCTCCAAAGTGAGGAATGGATGACCCAAGAGCCCTCTCTGTTTCTCCAGAAACCATGGAGAGCTTTGAGATTACCTGCCATTAAAAAGTCAGGAAATATCCAGGTATACACTTACTCATGGGTAACACATGGCCACATTGTGTGTGTTTTAATATAAATTATATTATGCTGCATATAGGCATATAAAGCCGTATCAAAAGGTCTGAAAATCTCACCTCACAGAAAAGGTGACCTTGGGAGAAAGGAAGGGACTCAGGTCAAACATGAAGAACAAAGGGACCTTAGCAAAAGGCACTGTAATGTTCTCCTTCTTTATTGTTCTCCCCTATGCTTCCTTTTGTTCTTTTTTAAGGGCAAATGTACTCATGTTTTAGTGTAGAGCTAGAAATTACTTTTTTTTTTGTACCAAGAACTCTACCTCTCCCTCCCTCTCCTGACAGGCGCTGTGCTGCTGAACTGTATCCCTAGTCTTAGGAATTACTTTTAAATATTTGGGAATAATTTTCTCCAGTCATAATCTTAATGGTTGCTTCAAATTGTTATCAGGTGGCTTCTTTAGAAATGGTTTGCCAGCTAACCCTGTTTCAGGTCATTTCTTCCTTTCTTTCTTTCTTTCTTTGAACAAAGAATTAGACAAGATGAGCTGAAAACAGTGCCAAATGTTTTATTTGCAAAATAAGGGGTGAAGGGATAAGGGACAACCTGGTCACTTGGACCAAACAATGAGGAAAATAGAAAAAGGCTAAAAATAAAAGTACATCCTGGTCTAGAAGACAGAGTGAGTCATGGCGAAGGACCTGGTTAGCAGGCTCCCGCCTTGTGTGTGTCCTTATGGACTATCCACATCATAGAAGCCACAAGAAGCTCCACATGCTGAGTCCTGGGTGCTGTCTGGGGTCTTGTAATTGACAAGTCCTGTGTGTTCCTCAGCCCGCTTTGCCATGCCCTCCTATCTCAAAATTGCTTCTTTGGGTGTTTGAAAAACTGATTTCTGCATAGCAGCTATGTTTAATAATGTAGCTGATTCCGTATGGTAACTGGGATGAATGGAAATGCCAGAGATACTATTTTTGGTTTGATGTTTTTATCTGAACAAATATTGTTTGCAGCTGAGAAGAGCAAGAATCATGCTTATGGCAAACAGTAGCAGTCGTTCAAGAAAATGTGGAATGAGTGAAATGGGATGGATGGGTGTGTGGGTGGGTGTTAGATGCATAGATGGTTAAGTCTGATAAGATAATCATTTGTTAGATTTAGGATGACTTGGAGCACAGATTATATAAATTTGGGGGGAAAATCAAAATTAAAACACATTCTCTTGGTCAACAGCTAGGCTGATAAAAGCAATGTATCTTGTCTTAAAAATCATCAAAATAAGAGTTTGGACAAAATAGTCTTAGCTTAATATTAATTTGAGGGTGAGATTTCTGTAGGGGTGCAACTAGGGGACAACAAACTTTGCTTCTTTTTCAAAGAAATGAGGAGGAAATATACAAATAAACAGTGAGATCATTTAGAAATGTAGCAGGACAATTACACACGTTACGGGGAGAATAATGGTAGACCATATTGCTGCCTAAAGAAGGGTTGTTACTCAGGATGGGCCAGCGGGAGGAGACAGAGGGTCACAGCGGCCACAATGGGGCGGGGGGGAGGGCTGCCATCCTCAACACAGCAATGGAACCCTGTGAAAGAAGCAAGAGCCTCATCTTCTCAGGGCTGCAGAGCTCTGCCACCTGACCAGTGGGCTATCTTTTCCTAAGTGCTCTCTCTCTTTCCTTCTCTCAACTCCTGTGACCCAGCTCAGGGTCACTGTCCTCTCCTCCCCACTGTAGGTTTAAAAATAATTTTGCAGCTTCCAATGTGGAGAAAAACAAAGGCTGAAAGAGAAGCATAACACTTCTATCCTATTTTTACACTCTCAGCTCACCCCATCCCAGCCCGTTAGGAGAAACAAAATAGAAGTTCCCCAAACCCTGTTTTCTCAGATTTCTTGAAAGCTTTCACCAGGCATCTTGCCTGAAAACATTTCTTGGTTTGTGCAACAAAGAATTTATAGGACCACGGTTTGCAAAGCTCTGTGTTGGTGAAACCCTGGGGCACATAGATTTCCAGAGCTACTAGGCTGATCACAAAGGGAACCGCTACAGATGAGTGCAAACTGCAGGGAAATGCACACAGCTATCTGAAGAGGGCAGACTGAGGATCTGGGTAGAAAGAAGAGAGAACTGAAGTCACACGCCCCCGCTCCCAGCTCCCCTTCCACGTGAGGCTGGCAGTGATTGACTTTGGATATGCCTCTCCGCTTAAAACACATGCTGTCAAACTTGTTTTTCTGCACCTTGAAAAATCCTGTCAAATGACATAAGCTATGCTGCCAAGAAAGCTCTGTTTTTAACTACTGGATCCTGTATGTTGGTTCTTTCTTTTTTAGAGCATTGGACTTCTTTGGCTGTTGACCAAATAGGATGTGGGGAAAAGGATGCTCTACTGGGTCATCCAATAATGGAAAGTGCCATTTGGTGACCACTAGGTAAGCCATGTGCCTGAAAATCCAGTGCCACTGGAGCCAGACAGGTGACACACGAGCAAAGCAAGCCAGAGGGGATGTTGGCGGTGAACCGTCTGCTTCACATCGAGGGGGGAACTGGTCCTCAGCTCCAGCAGGTGACCGATTTGCAGATCAGTAATCTGTGCATCTGTTTCAGGACCAACAATGATCTCACCCTTCGTAGTTCTGAGTTTTACAATGCTTTGAGTTCTGTTCAGTGGGTACCACTCATTCCAGGGGCAAAGCTGTGTTGTTTCCCATTTTGAGGATACTGTTTTTTTGTGATTTTCTTACTCCAAATGTGTATGAAGAGGCTACTTTCTAGTCTTTCTCAAAGATAATTTATCCAGAGATGGGCATTTAATTCTGGAAAAGCTAATCTTAGCGCCACCATTCTGGCCACATTGATTGGCCTGGGAACTGGGCATGTGACCCAAGTTATCCAATCAGCATCTTTTCTCATTTCTTTTTTTAATTGATTTTTTGGGAACAAAAACTTCTCTTATTGTCCAACTAGGAGGGGGTCAGCTAGGATTAACTGGCTGCCCTGATACTGCCCTTGTGAAAGAGCCACCTGAGTGAGGGCAGACGCCTCACCTCAGCTGTCTCAGAGAATGGCGTCCTTCCCACTGTTGTTTCGAGGATTAGTTTTATGAGAAAAGAAACTCCTCCTTTCGCCTCCCTCTTTTAGAGCTGAGCTTTTGTCTCCTAACTCAGGAAACCCTGACATATCTGGACTGACTGTGTGGGTTCCAACATCGCACATCGTTGTGAAGAAACCTGTGCACCACGTGGCCTCAGTGTGCACAGTGGAAACGTAGCAGGCCTGCTTGATATAGACATTGAAAGGATTAAAGAGTCCATGGTATAAGGCACACAGGACATAAGCCTGTCATCAAAGTGTGGGCAAGTGGCAAAATAGGTTAAAGCACTTCAGAGAGAGAGACAGACAGACAGACAGACAGACTGAGTCAGAGACCGACAGAGAGACTGAGAGTCAGAGACCTAAGAGCCACTCTGCCCAAAGACAATTTGAATCCTAAACAGAATAATAGTTCTTTGTAAGGAAGATGTTTCTCTTTCCTGCCCTAAGAGAATGAAAAAAGAATGTTATAAAATCAAATTAATGTTACATCAAGAAACTAGAAGACAAACTAGACGGGAGCTCTAGAACAAGTGGAATTCATTAATATTCTGATAGGGATGGAAAGCTGAAGACACGTGGAGTCATTATGAGACATTAAACACCCACTACAAGAGAAGTTTCTAATGGGTGAGCGCAGGTATAATTTTATGCTTGCATTTATAAGGAAATGCAGGAAATGACAGGTCTGTAATTTTGACTTCAGTTAGAGGAGGTAATGGAGGTGCGGCTCAGGCTGGGCGCTGCAGAGTGCTGGGAAAGTTATTACTTAATTAGGGGCTGCAAGCACAGATTCAAATGAGAGAAGAAGCCTCTTGCAAGCGCTAGGTTCCTTGGTGTCCCAAAGAAACGGAGGGGCAGCGGAGAAGTGGGCTGCCATGCTCTCCAAGTGGCTCTGCCCCAGCTCCCCCTTGGGGACACGCCAGGTCTGAGTCCAGGACATCTCCCTGCGAGCTGCGGGGGTCTCCCAAAGCTCTCCGTGTCCCTCCCCATAGAAAGGGGGCTTTCTTCAAGAACGGGAACAGGAGGAGCCATGAATCCTGCATTTTAGGCAATGAACTAAAAAAGGAAGAGATTAAATAAGCACAAGAAGATTGCAGCTTTGATAGAGAGAATGTAATAAAGAAACTAGCAGAGGATTTGGAGTTAGGGTGTGGTGGTGGAAACTTTCAGGAAGCCATGTGACAGCCACCAGGAGACTGCGTCAAAGTGGGAGAGAAAGGTCCATTTAGGGCTGATTTTGCACCCCCCTCCCCGCCACCTCCACAATACCACATTTTACTGTGAGTTATGCTCACACTGACAAGCTATCATGGACGGGTTTTGCCTTAAATCCCCTTTAAAGAGAAATGAGGATTTCTGGCAAATTCATGATGCCTGGAAAGACTGCTCTTTTAAAATGGCAAAAGAAACAGGTAGACCAGAAACTCCTGGCTACATCTGACATCACTGTTTTTTCTAGGATGGACTCAAAAGTAAATTGGAACTTTGACTTGGAGAATTCATGGAGAATCCTTGTTCTGAACACACTTACCTTGCTTCCTCTGAAGTCCTCTCTGGTGTCTTCAACTGTGCTGTCCTGGCTGTCTCAAAGGTCTGAATTCATTAAAAGCATTTTCTCTTTGTAGTTATTATCAGGGAAGACAAGAAGTCACAGAGCATCAGGTCTGGTGAACCAGGTGGAGGGAGGCACACATTCATGCTTTTACAAGCCTACCTTTCCGTCAGATGGCAGCATTCCCTGTAAAAACATGAACCAGAATTTCCAGTAGTACTTCAGAAATTGTCAGGAGCTATGGGATAAACCTGCTTGAAGCAAGTGGGTGTATTTTGTGGGGTTAAAGACAAAGTGTCTTGACTGCAATGGCTTTTTAAAATTTAAACATTTACCATTTATTTCAGTTACCACTTGTATATTCTGTGGGTCAATTCATATGGGTCCATAACAACTTGATCTGGCTGCAGACTTTGAAGTTTCATACTCAGGAATAATTCCAGGAGTATCCATTTACCTAGAAATCTCTCAGGCTTATCCTTCTTTATGGCAAAGTAGTACACCATTGTACAAAAAAACCCACATCTTCTTTAGTCATTTATCAGTTGATGGGGATTGGGGAAATTTCCAAGATTTAGCTATTACAAACTATCATGCTGTCAACTTGGGTGTGCATATATCGCCATAGTAAAATGCTTTAAATTCTTTCAGGAAGACACCAAGAAGAGAAGTTGCTGGGCTGACTGGAACCTGTAGTCCTAGTTTTTTGAGGAATCTCTGCACTGATTTCCACGGTTGTTGCATCAGTCTACACTCCCACCAAAAGTGAGGAAGGGTCCTTTTTCCCCACAGCCCCACTAACATTTATTACTGGTTGATTTCTTGTTAATAATCATTCTTTCTGGGGTGAGATGGAATCTCAGTGTTGTTTTAATTTGTATTTCTTGAATAACCAATGATGTTGGTTTTTCATATGTTTGTTTGCCATTCCTATTTCTTCATCTGAGAAGTGTGTATTCATTTCAGATGTCCATTTTTGAATTGGGTCTTTAAATTCGGGGGTTCTGATTCTTGTGGAGTCCTTTATGTATTCTAGACAGTAGACCTTTGCCTGAGGAGCAGCTTATAAAACTTTTCTCCCCACACTGCGTTGTCTCTTCACTCTGTTGGTGATTTCTCTTGCTGTGTAAAACCTTTTTAATAAAATGAGACCTCAGTTGTTGGTTCTTTGTGATAGTTTCTATGTGACTTGGGTCTTGTTCATAAAGACTTTGCCCACACCAGTGTCTTCAAGAGTTCTATGTATTTTATCTTCTAGCAGATTTAGTGTTTCTGTTTTAATATTCAGATCTTTGGTCCATTTGAATTTTACTTTAGTGCACATTGAAAGATTTAATCTTTGGCATGTGGAAAGCCAGTTTTTCCAGTATCGTTTATTAAAGAGGTTATCTTTCTTCCAGTGAAGGTATTTGGTCCCTTTATCAAAAACAAGGTGCTTAAGTATGTCTGAAGTTGTTTCTGCATCTTCTAGTCTGTTCCACTGATCTTTGGGTCTGCTTTTCACCAGTACTGTGTGATTTTTATCACAGCAGTTTTGTAGTATAATTTCAAGTCAGGGATTGTGATGCCCTGCCCTTGCCTTTGTTGCCTAGAATTGCCTCTAGGTTTCTTCTGGTTCCAGATGAATTTTAGATTGTTTGCTCTAATTCTTTGAGATATGCTGTTGGAATTTTGATCAAGATTACATTAAATCTGTATAGCAATTTTGGAAGTATGGCTGTTTTCACTATGCTATAGGTTCTTTCTATTCAAGAACAAGGGATATCTTTCCAGTTTATGATACCCCTTTCAATTTCCTTTTTCAGAGTATTGTAGTTTTCAGTGTAGAGGGCTTTTTACCTTTGTTAGATTGAGTTCTACGTATTTCATTTGTTCTTTTTGGAACTTATTATGAAAGTTGTTTCCCTGATTTCTCTTTCAGTGAATTTGTTATTTTTGTAGGGAAAGTTACTGATTTTTGAGTGTTGACTTTGTATCCAGCTATACTAGTGAATTGGTTATTAAATCTAGAAGTCTTTTGGTGTAGTTTTTGGAGCCTTCTGTGTAAAATAACATGTTCACAAATAATGATAATTTAACCTCTTCCTTTCCTATCATTATTCCTTTTATTTCTTTCTCTTGTCTGATTGCCTGGCTAATTTTTCCAGCACTATATTGAATAAGAGTGGTGACAGTGGACATCCTGATCTTGTTTCTGATTTTAGAGCAAAAATTTTCAGTTTTTGTCCACTTAGTATGATGTTAGCTGTTGGTTTGTCATAGATTTTTTTTTATTTAAGGAGAAAAAGAAAAAAACAGAAAAAGGGTACAAGTAATACAAAATTTAAAAAATAAACAGTAAAAAATCACTGGTTAATAGATTACATATTCTCATCTTAGAAATAGTTGTTCAAGTTACAAAATTAAAGCATATAAAGTGGACTTTCAAACAGTGAGAGTGCAAACATTTTAGTTCAATGATCCAAAAAAACTCAATAATATGGTTATCTATCATACACTTAAACATATATGCAGTTATAACCTTTAGAGCACTTTCTTTTCTTTTCTTTTGTACAATGACAATTACACATTTTGGGTTTTATTACTTCCACAGTTCTTATTACTTTTTTTGAAAAGAGTAAAACCAAATGCAGCATATCAGAACAGAGTCAGTCAAATCAAAAGGATGGACATAATAGGTAATGTAAAAACAAAATACAAAGTGATCAACAATGGTTACCATACTGCCTCTTGCTATTTTAAGAAGAATTGCCTATATCATCAGTTATAATAAAATTGAACAAAACAGTAAAGAATAAAACCAAAACATTGGAGACATTACAGGACTTTAAAAGAAGATAATAGTCAACCAGAATGGGCGTCATAATGAATCTTATTGTCTTCACAGTTGTTGCCTATTCTTTCGAACTTGGTACTATCAAGCAAAGCAGAAAAAGGGAAAATCAGTCAAAACAAGATGGTGAGGGCAATACAGGATTTCAAATCAAGTTAATAAGAAATCAACATAGGTTACTATAATGTATCCTGCTATTTTTTATTTCTTTTTCCCTTAATTAAGAAGATAAAAATAAAAAAGTAAGTAATTTTTAAAAAGGGGGAATTGAGATAAAAGAGGGCATAACAACAGAACAGCGCAGGTCAAAACATAACCATTTAAGCAAAATAGTGTTTCACCACAAGACATCCCGACATAAAAATAGTTACCATAGTGTCTCTTTCCTTGAAATCTTTGAGTATAACTTTGTATACTGTAGCACCAAACATATCAAGACACCATAAAACCATTCAAGAGAATGACATTATTACAGGGTATTTAGAACCAATTAGCAGAAAATGAACAATGGTTTCTGTATAATCTCCTTGTCTATAAAAGTTTTTGCTTATATTATCCTATATAATAAAATCAAATAAGATACAACCTTTTAAGACTGATGGAGACAGAAGAATACAAGTTTGATGGGACTTCAAAACAAGATGATAATAAATCAGCGCTAGCTATTATGATGTCTTGTTTTCTCCAAAATAGCTGTTCCTACCATTCAATCTTCTCTGCCTCATTTCTGTTGAGCTCTTTTTCTGTCGTTTGTTGTCAGTTTGTCTTCTTCATTTTGCTTTCTGCTCCATTCATTGAGGCCTCTCTGCCACTATTTCTGGAATCTTGGTATTTTCCTTTTTTAGAATATCCTGCAGTATTCTCTGTAGAGTTGAATTGGTGGTTGCAAATTTCCCTAGTTCCTCTTTATCCTGGAAGCACCTTGTTTTTCCATCAATTTCTAGGGACAGTTGTGCAGGATATATCAATCTTGGCTGGAGGTTATTATCTTTCAAAGCTTGAATTATTTCCCCCCACACTCTTCGTGATTTGATGGTTTATGCCGAGAAGTCTGCTGTAATTCTGATGGGTGTTCCCTTGTAAGTGATCTGTTTCTTGTCTCTGATGGCTTTTAATATTCCGTTCTTATATTGGATTTCTGGAATTTTGATTATTATGTGCCTAGGTGTAGCTCTGTTTGGGTTGTAGGTGGCTGGGGTCCTGTATGCCTCATACATCTGAGTATCTTTACCATTTGCTAAATTAGGGAAATTCTCTTAGATTACTTCTGTGAACAGCTTTTGTAGTCCATTTGTTTGTGTCCCTACTTTTTATTTTATGTTCTTAATTCTTAAGTTATAGATCCTCTTATCATCTTCTAGCCTTGTATTATTGCTGTTTGTTTTTTTTGTTATTTTTAAGAAGTTTTTCATTTCATGCTCCCATATTACAAATCTGCCCTCCAGTTCAGATAATCTATCCTTAGTTTCTTTTAAGCTGTTATGCCAGTTTTTGATAGAGTTTTTAGTTTCCTGGTAATCTCTTTGAACTTGCTTCACGTATTCTATGTTTTCTCTATTTTCTCCATCAAACAATTCTCCCCTTTTTTTTCTGTTCTTCCATTCCACCATCTGTTTTTTCTTGGGTGGTGCTTAGCATTTCTCTAACTATTCTACTTATATCTTGCCTTACTTCATTAAATACTTCACTTTTGAACTCGTCTATGAGGCTCCGGAGATATTGCTTTATGTCTATTGGTGCTGTGTCTGATATTGCATGTTTCTCAGGATTGGAGGCTGAGGACCCTTTCTTGTTGCTCCCTCTTCCCATATTTTTTGTTCCTTTTATACAAGCGTATATGAGGAGGCCCAGTTTCTTTCTTTATGGGTTACAGTTTGTTTGAATTGAGCTGGCTAGGTGTTCCCACCCACTGCAGTGTACTAGGGAGACACAGATCTGGGCAGCCTATGCTGGGCCCGCCCCTCCAGGTCAACCTACCAAAGGCTTCACAGCTAGGGTGCACCTCCAGGCACTGGGACCTGGTTTGGGCTAGCTTACTGGGTCTTACTCAGTGGCTTTACCCAAGCCAGGCACTCCCCACCAATCCCACTTGAGAGGGGAATATGTGACTGAAGTCACTGCAGCGTCCTGTTCAGGCTAGTCTGCCTGGTCCCAGTGTGTCCTTTGCTAAAGCCTCCTACTCTATGGAAGGGTCCCTGGTCTGCTCACTCACCGCAGGTCGATGCAGGGCTCCTGGCCAGTCTCACTCTCAACTCCATTCACCGCTTCCCACTCTCAGAGCTTTTATATCTCTCTCCTTGCCCTGCTGATTGGGTCGCAGCAGCCGCTGCAGGGAATTCAAATCGCGGCTTCCAGTGGCGCGGGCTCCTGCTTCCATACTGAGACCTTATCTGTTCCTGTTATATCACCAGGATTGCGCTTCCAGTTGGTTTCTCTTAGTTTAGTTCGTTCCTGGGTTGGTAAAGTATATCTCCCCTTGCTTAGGACTTCTCACCCAGCACCATTCCTGGATTTTAAGTGTGGTTTCTCAGAGAGCCTCTGAAGCTGCTGCTATCTATCCACCAGTGTGTTCTCCCAGAAGTGTCATAGATTTTTTTTTTAAAGTCATGAATAGGGGGCTGGGGATTTAGCTCAGCAGCATAAGTGCCTGCCTGGCAAGTGTAAGGTTGTAAGTTCAATCCTCAGTACTAAGAAAAAAAAAATCATGAATAGGTGCTGGACTTTGTCAAATGCTTTTTCTATGTCTATTGAAGTGATCATACAGTTTTTGTCTTTGGCTCTGTTAATATGATGTATTATATTTGTTGATTTGTATATGTTGAACCACCCTGCTTCCCTGGAATGAAACACACTTGGTCAGGGTGTATAACCTTCTTGATGATTTGCTGCATTCTGTTTGCCAGTATCTTATTGCGGACTTTTGCATCAATGT